AAAACGGCGAGGCAAAGACACAATAACTGCAAAACGAACTCCAACGCGGTGCGTAGCAAAGTGGAACACACCTGAGTGTCACTAGTCCAAATAGAGAGAGAATCCCACCAGGCATCGCGAGGAACGTTGCCACGGCATTGAGCAAAACTACCTGACTGGACCGTGCCTCTCCCCCCAAGAGGAGATCCTTTGTCCAGGGTTCTCTGTGGTCTCTAGATTTATTCCACGGCCAAGGTGTCCCCTTGTCCATAATCTTCCATGGCCACATCTGATGCGAGAGCTGTGGTCTGCACCTTCACTGTGGACCATCAAGCACTAGAAGTTCACTTCCTTTGGTTGCAAGTTGAGGGCCCTGAGGTCGGCTGACGACTTGAAGAGTCACGGGGATATTAAGGATAGGTTCATGGTCTTTGTCAGTATACTTCTCTCAGAAACTTCTTTGGTTTCTGATATATTTGTTTACAGTCAATGCAATACAGCAGAAATCACAGATGGCTTTTCTAAACAAAGATTTTAAACCTGCTTCATTTTTCTCTCTCAACTTAACCTTGAGGTCATCTGAAAAAATACATTTGGATATTAAGGCAACAGATTCACCTCCCACTGTTGTGGCGCCCAGAAGCCGTTGAACTGTGCAAACCTCTCTTTTTCCTTCCATCCTTGCTACAACCTACTCAGTTCTGGTCTGTGTAGTATCTTGTTAAAAGCAGTGGGGTCAGCTACATTCAGGAACCCTGGCTCCAGTCTCTCCTCTCAAGCTACAAAGCAGGCACGTGATCTGCCTTCCAAATATCAGAGTAACAGTGTAGTGAAGCCACTCAGCTCAATATCCAGCTTCCTTGGAAGAAAAACAGCCAGAACAGCCTACCAGATACTATAAATTGCAGATGCAGTACATACACTCTGACGACTTCGAAACTACACATTTTTAAATTACTTGTGATCTCACTGAGGGCAGTAATGGAGTCTTGAAATTTTCTAATGTCTATACGATAGCCAGACACTGGTAATTCATTTCATGAATACTTATTGATAGTCTTATGATTTAAAGAAACACTAATTCTTTTTATAGCTGACTGAGATATTTTCTAATTTTCCTACCCTATTTTCATCACTTTATAGATTCATGTAGAATAAGACAACAGTTAGAGTTTGAGTGAGGGTGGGAACAAGGGAAACCTTTTCTTCTATGTACGTGTTGATTTTTGTTCGTTTGTTTATGCAACCAAACTGCCATTTGCCAACCACTCTTTGCTTAGGATACAATAGTGTGTGTGTGTATGTGTGTGTGTGTGTATTTTTTTCTTTTGTACATGCCCCTAGCAGGAACCAAACCCAGGACTCTCTAGTGCACTGAGCCAAATTGGCCAGGGCGCATGTATGTTTTAAGACTGATTTTTAAAAATATATATCTGAAAATTGCCTGGCTGGTGTGGCTCAGTGGTTGAGCATCGACCCATGCACCAAGAGGTCGCCAGTTCGATTCCTGGTCAGGGCACATGCCCAGGTTGTGGACCTGATCCCCAGTGGGGGGCATGCAGGAGGTGGCCAACAGATGTTCTCTCTCATCGATGTTTCCATCTCTCTCTTTCCTTCTCCTTTCCTCTCTTTCTAAAATTAATAAAGAAAAATTATTTTAAAAATATATCTTAAAATTAAGGTATAAATCAATTATAACAAATCAAAACACACACACTTCCACTTTATATAAATGATCATTCAGAAGAGCATCGAAGTACTACTGTTGATTATTCGCCAAAGCCTTATAGAGTGTTGATGCAGCCAGACTAAAAGTGCCACAGATATTGCTCTCATTAGCATTTGGCAAAAATGGCTCTTGATCTGGATTTTGTGCGGTAATTATAATTACCAATTATCTAACTTTCTAGCAAAGAGCTAATTAGATGGTCCTGATGATAATGTCAGTTGCAGGGCTAGGGCCAGGGGCTCTAAGGAGAGGGACGAGTGTAAGAGAAAACAATATATTCTAAACTCTTCCTACTTTGGTGAACAACAGAGTCTATCAATATAATATTTCTTACCAAGAACTATGTGGCATCAGGATAAGAGTGTATGACCCTGCCCAGAACAGAACAGCTTCTACTACCAAAATCCTACCAAGGCAAAGAACTTCTCCCCTCAAGTCACTAAGCTGGTTCCAATAACCTTTGCAATTTTAAAATCAGACACTAGCTTTAGACATATCTACACAGCACTGATTCATGACTAATCATAAATTACAGTGCAGTGCTTTTATTTTAACTCTGAAAGATATATCAATAGTCATTATATAAACAATCAAGTTCTCCATTATTTGTCAAAATTTGTCGACTCCTTCAGTTTCAAAATTAGTATAAGTTTTTGGTTTTTGATGATGAAAGTGAGCTCTTGACATTGATGGGAATTTTGAAATGTAAAGCATTTTTAGCATCAATCAGGAGAAATGTAATCTGTTATATCAATATTTACTGGGTATCAGTTGGAAGACAGTGTTTGAATATCAGAGTCATGGAGAAAACCTGCCAAGTCAAAGTGTTTGAAATCATTCTGAGAAGGGCTGAGTCTATTGGGAATCCATGTTTAACCACAGTTTGGTTCAAACACTATGATTGAATAAGACATTTGAAGATATGTTTTAGAATGGGCCACAATCTTCTATTAGACTTCTCATCCAAGCCAAAGGCAATAAAAATTAAAATTAGATGTAAGTATTAAATTTTCAGCTATATAAAATGATTAAGTCCTAGAGATATATACTGCACAACATAGTATCAATAGTTACCAATACTGTATTGCAGACTTAAAAATGTGCTAAGAGGCTAGATAAAAAGGGCAGGAGGGAATTTTTGGAGGTGATGGACATATTTATGGCATGGATTGGTAGTGATTTCATGAGTGTATACTTAATTCTGACCTCATTGAGTTGTCTACATTAAATATTTACAGCTTTTTGTATGTCAATCTTACCTCTATAAAGTGGTTTTTATAAAATTCTAGTCATCTAGTATAAGAAATATTTATAAAATCTGGTCACATACTTAGAAACATAAAGTTAATAATTACATATGATTGATTATTCCAGGTTACCAGATGGTACTCACTTAAAAATTAAAAACATAACTCAAATTATCACAATTTTAAGTCTAAAATTAATTATTCATAGCTGTATTTTCTCATACAGCATATTCCAGCATTATTTATCTGTATCTTTGTAACTGAGGTGGATTATGCTATCCGTCCATTAATTAATGCCCTGTACCTGTCAAAGTCTAGTCAGGATACATGATTTTAACAGGAAGGATTGAAATACATGGGATTGTAAACTATATGAAGTTGTTAACGAGGTAACTAAAAGGAGGCAAAGGAACATTAAGGTATCATGGAAAAAGCAACTGCAAAAGGAGCTACAACCTGTAGGACTGAGTGCACAGAGGAAATGGGGCAGAGTCACTGAACGGAGAACCTGGAAAGGGTACCTGCAGAGCGGAAACTTGGCCCTCTGGGTGTGGGCACTTACTTTCCTGCTGCTGGGGGTGCTCCCACTCAGGAGGGGCCATGCGGAGCTGGAAACATGGAGCTCTGAAAAGAGGGCACCTATTTGCTGGGGCTGATGTCTTTGATGATGACATGATGCACCTGTTTGTGCAAGTGCTAGAAAAACTGCCAACTGGATTCAGCTTCTGTGATGAGAATGCCCTGCGGTTGCCGAGGTGAAGTGTTGCTAGAGTGATGCTCACTGGACTGAACATCCAGAAGAAGCCCATAGAAAGGAGACAGACAGAAGCAAGTCCCCTCTTCCCCCTCCAGCCTTGCAACCTTCTACAAGTAACCCCTATTGCTAAGGCCTAACAGAAAGTCAGCTGGCAAAACAAAAATGTGCTTTGCAAATTTCTAATTCTCAGCATCATCAGAACAGATGCAGAAGGGTGATTTTGGTGCTGAGAAACAAATAGCATAATACCTGCCACATGGTATTAGGAGGCAATCCACTTGCATAGGACAGAGCACACACTTTCAATGAACATTCCCTGAAAATCTGCTGACTTTTTGCAAGCACTTTACTTACCCCTTTCCCCAAACATGTTACCCATGATTCAAGGAAGAATGGAGAAAGTTTGTTCGAGGTTTTACAAATAACCTCGAAGCAACAGAGTTCACCTTTAAAATCAGTTTATTTTTCTCTTACAAAATAAATTACAATGGCCCAGTGATAATTGTTTACCTAAATTTTTAGCAGTCCTTATGACTTATATTTAGAATCTGGGCATTGTTCAATAATTAAAGTGATCAGAAGTCTGACTGATGATTTATCATAGCTTACTTAGCTAGCTGAAACAATCATGATATTGGAGAGTAGCTCTTTATATCCTACTTGTATACAAAACAGGAAGTAATAATCCTCCAAATATACATAAATCACATGTATTTTGACACTGTAAACATAATAGAGTTGTCTGTCTTGAATTAAAAGCAAAATAAAAAAAAACTTCTATAATCATCTGATATTGTATAGGATTTTGCACACAATAAATTGCATTCATTCTTATAATTTATGAATTGCCAAGAAGCATTTAATTTGGGAAAATATTATATTAAAGTTAAGCATGAAGCAAGTCATTATTTCTGTCACATTTATGTCTATTAAATTGTTAGTTTGGTAATACAGAGATAATAATCCTGTGAAAAGGAGAACTAACAACCTGTCTTTAAAATAAGCATTTGTTTCTATCTTGCTTAAAACAAACAGCTTTCCAATGAGGCAATTCTAATCTTATTACATAGGCTTGATCTCCATACCTACATTTGGAAAAGATTCATTATATCAGCAAAGACTAATGGAGTTAGAAATGGGTATCACAGAGATTTTAAGTAGCGTTCTATAATTTTATTAGCTAACAGTTTTTTTTAATGCTTCCCATTGGTAGCATTGAGGGAAAAACAACAGCATTATCAATATATATTTATCAACACAGAAGATTAATAGTGTTTAAACTTCTTACCTATTAACATCCCAGATTTTACTGGTGGTATCCAAGGAAGAAGAAGCCACAAAGTCACCACAGGAATGCCACGTGCAGGACCACACTGCGTGTTTGTGTCCTTCAAAGGTCAAAATGCAATCGCCTGTAGACAGGTCCCATAATTTAACTGTAGTGTCGCCACTTGATGTAGCCAACTTGTTGCCACTATTTGCAAAAATATGAAAAAGCAATTTGTTAAAAAATCAATTTACAATTTATTTTTTATGGATAATTATATTCTGTGAGTAATGTGTGTATCTATTTTAATTTTACTTATAATGGCATATCTAAATGCCTAACTCTTATTGTCTTAAGTCTACACAATTAGCTGCTTACTTGTATTTATTAATTCAAGTTGATAAAACTCCCGTTGCATACCTTCTAGATTAATTCTTCTATATTCTTCCAGATTAATTCATTAAATTAATATATTTTTTTAGTAGCTTCAAGTTCAGGGCTATGTGTTAGGCTCTGGGGAAAATGTAGCCTCAGAATGATGAAAGTTTAGACATAGGCTAACACAGTTTCAAAAACATAATACAAAATAGTAGGTCAGCATTGCTTATATTTGTATTAATTAAATGCTCCAGGAGTACCGTTTGGATGATGAAGGAGGAAGTGAACCAGGAATGAGGAGACGTCTGAGCTAGATCTTCAGAGATGAAAGATTAGAAGTGCTGGGTAGTTGAGGATGAGTCGTTGAATTTTCCATTTATATCATTAGTAGATGTTTTCAAAAAGCTGTAACTTTCAAGTGGTGGACACACCAACTTGAAAAATGGGTTTCAATAGCATAAGCAGAAACATCTAGGGTTTTTTGTTTGTTTTGTTTTTTTCGTAGAGTATCGACTGCGAGATTTCTATCCCATCATTTCCACATTGTGCTGCATTGCATTGTCGTTCTAAGAGTTCTCTTTGTGACATCTCTCTCACCGAATGCAACAAAACGCTTATTTGCTCTCCTTCCTTGTGTTTTGATGAAGAACTGTGTTTCCCTTTTCCTACAGTATCAAGTCTTACGACTGACCAATGGAAGTGCTAACTAAATGTTTCTAGAATAAATATTTGCATGAATAAATGAAGGAAGTTAGGCTAAGACTGAAGAAGAAAATATGCCCAGTATTTTTAAGAAACAAAACGGCAATATCAAGAAAGTATTTTGCTTGCTTTTCGGGGGTGAGGACTGGGGTGCTTATTTTTTGTGCTGAGATAATTAAATATTTATGTGCAGAAGAGAAACAGCCACTGGAGAGGGAGCGCTTAATGAAGCTGTTGCAGGAAGACGTGAATTACAGAGTGAAGATGTTCTCATTAAAGTTATAAAAGGATATCTATTTTATTTTTTAAATTAGCAGAAAAATAAAAAATTGCTGTATTACAGTCCTTTACTAATAGAAATTAAAAACTGCCTTGCTTTGCAGCTGTTTTTTATTTGTACATACAGGGTGGGGCAAAAGTAGGTTTACAGTTGTTTGTATGGAAAATAATACAATCATTAATAAATAGTAATACAAGAATAAAGCAGGTTTGACTGACAGGCAAGTGCCTTCCGTATGTCACCCCAACTCTACTGCACATGTGTCTGTCTCCCCTCTGTCCCGCCATCTGTGGGGAATGGGCCGCGGGTCCACGGTGAGCATGAAGTTGCAGCTTCCTGGTGAAGCAGCCCAGACGACATGCCTTTAATGCCTGGCCTCCCTTTCGCTCCTTTGCTGTTATTAATAACTAGCTACTTACAATCATTGCCCCTCTTCTCACACAGTGCCTTGTTTTCACTCAGAACAGGACCTGGGCCTCTTTCTCACATCAGCAGAGACAAGAGCTCTCCATTTCCAGCCCCCTTGTCTGTGTCTGGCCCTACGTCTCCGTGGTCCAATGAGACAGAAAAGTGAAGAGGACTACTTTTCATAGACTTGTGAACTTGGAACGATATTTTCCAAATAATTATTCTCTATACTCTGTCTGGAACGTGCAATTAAAAAAATGTTTTCCTTGTGTGTTTGGGAAGGAATATTCAATCTTAGGCTCAGATTTTTCCCCGTAATTCACGTCTGCTAAAGCGGCACTACCTGAAAGCTAATGGACTTAGCAGGATATCTCTGTGGCTCCAGAACAAGCGTGTTTCTGTTTCTGGTACAAAATAAGAGGTTTTTATAATCGGCAGTACTAGAATGACAATTGGTAAAACTATCTTGGTAAAAGCAAATTCATGTATTACAGAATTCTAGAATCTCTAAGGCTGGTAGGACCCTTGAGTTCCTCTAAGCTAATCATACAGCCATCATTTTCATTATTTCTATGGATATACTATCATTTCATCACCCATTTCTCTATTTAAAACTTCTAGCAACAGAAAATCCAGTTCATCTGGTTTTGAGTAGCTCTGTTAGAAAGTCTTCCTTTTGTTGAGCTTATTTTCTTCTCCTCGTTCAAGTTAGTTATAATCCTCGGCATCATTCAGAGTTCAAATTATCCCTCTGTTGTTCAGTAGCCTTTAGAGTAGAGAAGGAACATCATCATGTTCTAGAAATGACAACTGATTCATCTCCCTTATTGCCCAAATATTCTTCTCCTTGCTACTCTCACTTAGGAGGTCACAAGGTCGAAGAACATGTATATCCACTCAACTTTGACTCATAACTGGTCTATTTTTTATTCAACAGGGCATATATTCCCATTACTATACTCCAATTGTGCATCTTATCTCTTTAAACCTTGGTAATAAATATAAGATCATATGTACTTCCACATACTAAAATACGAGATTCACTTTGCTTAATTTCCATTCTTTGCCGCATTACTCTCTCTTATTCTTTCACTAATGACTTCTTGTGTATCGTTTTCAAATTGTCATCTTCCTTTCCACAGCAGACCTATTTTTTCTAATGACCAGCTTCACAGTTAGGTTGAAGTTCTCTTGATAAGATCAGTTTGTTTCAGGACACACAAAGCTGTTTCTAACATTCTGAGCTCGACTGCATTTCTACCCCGGAACCCAACTGAAGTTTATGAAGCCACTTTTTAGAAATTCAAACTCTTTTTGTTTAAAGCATGTGTACAGCCAGCTCTTTACCCTTCCTGTTCCTCCATCCCTGCAAGTGTAGATAAGAGGAAAAGGTAATGGTGACAACGCACGTAGCCCCGAGTCTTCTCAATTCCTGTCATCGATTTCGTAACATGTTTAGCTGGTCTGTCTGAGCATGCAAGCCGCTCCACCATAAAGGAAGTGGAGTGGAGAGGGAAACACCAATCTCAACAGACTCTCATCACACTTCTGATAAACTTTAGAAAACCAGCACAGATTTCACCAGAATTTGCCAAGTCTTCATAGACTAGATAGCCTTTACCAGGCCATACCACTCACCAGGGAATGAATAGAAGCCAGGGTAGGCATTTCTTTATGTTCTAACAATGTGAATTCTATACCTCAAGCTTTATAAGTAAAACGAAATTGGATCTTTTATGTGTACTAATTTAGTACTCAATAACTCTTCATTGTTCTGGAAATAAGGTAAACTAGAGTATTAGCAGAATTAGAACTTGGGTTCTAGTAATATCATTGCCAGTTAAAAGCTTTTGGCTTCTGGAACTGTCTTTCTGAAGGTTAGTGTTCTCAGTTGTAAAAGGAAGACATGACACCTTTCTACTGTGACTCCTCGGTGTGGATCAAACTAAGGATGTTTGCCAGAACATAAACCATGAACCTGCTGTGGACATCAAGAAGTGAAGTCTGTGTATATTTATAATAATAATCTTTAGAGGATTTTCACGTGTATATTTAAATAAATAAATATTTTTTTAAATTACTCAGTCTCTTCAAAGAATGCTGCTAGATCAACTAGACATCCACATACCCAAAATGTACCTAGACACAGATCTTACACCCTTCACAAATATTAACTCAAAATGAATCATAGGCCTAAGAGATAACATAAAGAAGGAAACCTAGATGACCTTGGGTATGGTGATGCCTTTGTAGATACACCACCAGACATGATGCATGAAGAAACAATAGATAACCTATATGTCATTAAAATTAAACACTTCTGGCTCTGGTCAGTTTAGCTCAGCAGTTGAGCGTCAGCCTGTGGACCAGAGTCCCGGGTTTGGTTCCTGCTAGGGGCACGTACCACCAAAAAAAAAAAAAATTAAACACTTCTGTCCTGCCAAACACAATGTTGAGAGAAGACACAGAGTGGGAAAAACATTTTCAAAAGATATATCTGATAAAGGACCATCATCCAAAATAAACCAATAACTCTTAAAACTCAACAAGAAGACAACTTTATAATGATGTCAAATTAGCATATGAAAAGATCTTCCACATCCTATGTCATTAAGAAAATGCAAATGAGCACAACAGTGAGATACCACCACACATCTAATTAGAATGATCAAAAGCCAGACACTGGCAACAAATCCTGGCCAAGATGTGTGGAACAACAGGGACTCCTGCACCTTGATGGCAGAAATGCAAATGGCGCAGCCACCTTGGGGGGCAGTGTCGCAGATTCTTACAAAACTAAACATACCGTTACGATACAATCCAGCGATTGCACTCATTGGTATTCACTCCAGGGACCTGAAAACTTACCTTCACAGAAGAACCTGCACATGAATGTTTACAGCAGCCAAATCGTAGAACCACCAAGGTGGCTTTCAGTGGTGAATGGATAAATAAATTTAGGTACACAGACTGAAATATTATTCAATGTTAAAATAAATGATCTATCATGAAAAACACGGGAAATCTTAAATGTGAAATGCTAAGGGAAAGGAACCAGTCTGAAAGCTATATGTTGTATTATTCCGACTATATAATATTCTGTAGGGCAAACCTATGCAGACAATTTTGATCAGTGGGGGGTGGGGAGATATGAGTAGACACAGCAGAGTATGTTGAGTGTGTTTAAGGCAGTAAAAATACTTTATGATATGATAATGTTGGATATATGTCATTAAACTTTGTCCAAACTCATAGAATGTGCAAGAGTGAACCCGAGGTACACCTTGGGCTTTGGAGGATGATGATTTGTCATTGTAGGTTAATCCTTAGTAAAAAAAAATACACACACAACCCCGTTCTGGTAAATGATGTAGATAATAGCAGAGGGTATGCATATGTGTGGGCACAGGGTATACTGAAAATCTCTGTGCATCCCTCT